GGGTACTGAAGAGACATGGCAGCATCACCAGTGACACACACGTACTATGCCCACACAGTCACTTCCAATTTAACAGGCAGACTCTCTTAAAGTTCCAAAGGATAATGAAGGAAAAGACTTCACTTCCTTTACATGTCTCCTCAGACCAAAGATCCAGCGAAGTGTAAGGAAATATTCAACTCATTACTAAATGTTACTTGTTGGCTATTCAGTTTTTTTGAGATCACATATAATAACTACAAAGTGATCCTGATCTAGTCACAAACTTTCATTTTCTGATCCAGATTTGCTCAAGGGGAATGATTAAACATCCAGCTTACATTCTGAAAGTCAGAGCAGATCATCACAACGCACTTAGACAAGGTACTGATGGGCCAGGACTCTCATTTCATGTCTAGCCAAGGATTTCTTAGGGACTTGAGGTGTGCAACATCCACATTCCCCTCTAAAACACTAGGGATCCTGGTCCCATATCCTGGAGCTCACTAAGAACTAGAGGAATTCCCCAGACACCTCCTGCAGATCCTCCTTGCAGATTCTGCAGTCTCCCGAGACTGTCTGGGTTAACGTTCTCCTAATTCCAAAGAGGCAGCCAAAGTACTGAGAAAATCCAATGAGAGATGTTTCCACACTCCTCCCCCATCCTCGCAGTGTACCCCAGAGTTCTACCGGATAGGAGGAGGGGAGTGAGACGTTCTAACCACCAGGAGGCAGGGGGCGTTTCCGTGCACCACGTCCTCCTGTGTGGTCTGGGGACCTGCAGTTGCCACGTGTTCCCTTCTTTAAGTTAAGGTCTAAACCCACACCCACGGATTCGGGACTTGGGTGAATATGGACCTGTGGGGATGGCCATAGTGGTAACTCACCTTAATCTTGTAATACTCTTTGTGTTAAAACCTAGGTAACTCTTCTGCAAATAAACTGTACAGACCCAAACTCAAGAAAGTTGGACAATGCCACTGTCATCAACCCTTCTATCTCTCCTCAGTGATACAGGTGCCAAAATACATCTCCCTTTAGGCAAAGTCCCAACACATCTGTGGTAAACGCATATAAACAGAAGTGGGCAGAATATAAAAGAGTGAATGTCAACAACTTAATTCCAAAATACATGAACATGACAGAGGAATGACTCTCTAACATATGTCGTGTTCTGATAGATACAAAGAAAAGAACAAAGTCTTGAAATGTGAAAACTTTGATCTCCAAGACTATATCTAGAGTTATCTACAAATTGATATATTTTCAAATAGCCAGAATAAGATGCATTTTTTCCTCCTAAGCTGCTAACTCTGAATTCCGGATCCTGTTTCTCCTATCACCAATTTCTAATGTTAGGTTAAGAATGTAGTTCCTAGAACAAAGAATCCTCTAGGGAAAAAGCATCTGTTTTTAATTCAAAGCTATTGGGTATAGAAAAACTTATTATAGTTTTAACTATCTGTGTGTGGGTTTATAAAACATGCACCAATGTACACTTCTTCCTCGTAGATTGAATGCAACCATAGAAACATTTGCATAAAAATCTGTGGCCTGGGAGGAATCTCTGATGATAACCAAAGAGCCACAAGTCCCCCTAGTGGTCAGGAACTGAGCAGAGATACTTCACAACTAGTCCGCTGAGTCAGTAAGCAGCTGGGATCTGCTTGGTATTTTAAAGCAAATAATACAAAGTGGATAATGACAACAGCGGGTATCAATTATCATGTTGCTACTTATCTAGGACTGGATTGACTTGGCAACTTTTACAAAAATCATTCACTTCACAACATGCAACTTTAGAAACGCAAGTGTGCTGGTGCCCTTGTCAGCAAGGCCAGCTTGCACACCGAGGTGGGAATGACGGCGCCCACCTGAGACTTCCCATTCAAAGATGTTTACAGTCTGTGCTTTAAGGTTACATTTGATAAGATCCTATTTTCCTTTGTTCGCTATACATTAAAGTTAAATGCCTTTATGCTGTGCAAAAGATGGGCAGTGAAATTTTAATATTTTAACCCATCTGTATACCCTGGAGATTTGGCGGCATAATGCAAGAAGAAGGCTGCCGATGGGGACTGAGAGGTGTGAATCCATTTTCTGCTCCACCCAAGTAACTCCGGAGACTAGACATGGCGGGGTAAGGGCAAGTATGATTAGAGTTGCCATCGTGTTGTGAGAGGAGAAACCAGGATGCACCTGATTTTCGAAAGCTGGTTTTCACTTTTGCCCCATACTACTTTTCATATAGTTTGGCTTGACTTTAATTAATGGCCATGTCCCTCAGCTTAGATAAAATAACCAAAGTGGTTTAAAATTACTTGGATGATCTCTGTTTGTCACTGAAATCTGAAATACGCCATCACTTAAAAAAAAACCAAATAAATAAAAAATAAGTAACTAAAACAACCAACTCATTCTCTGTATCATACCTTAAAATAAAGCAAAAACAAAAATCCTTGTGCCAAAAATATTTTGCTCAGGGCTGCCAACTTCTCTTTTTAGCCTGAGACACTGAATTTCTAAAAGCACAAACTATGCTTTTAAAAACCATAAAGTAAATCTCTATATGATAGTACTTTTACGTGGACCTATTGATACATATGATATAACTAGCCTGTTTTCTTTTCAAAGTGTCAGAGCTGAAACATCTTTGGTTAACTCTTTCCTCTACACGCAAGATGAAGTATTCTTATACACAGGCTATTTCTCTCTGGATACGGAGTTCGTCGGTGCCATCTGGAAAAGGGGGCAACATAGTGGAAGAGTTGGGAGAAAAACAGAAGAAACCAAGAGAGAGAAAACACCCAATTGCCATGTTGCCATCACTGTTTGTTTCGACTGCTAGAAGAGAAATACCAATAAGTACACACACACATGACTATAGCCTCATCTGCTTTTCCAATGGTTATGATGGGCACGCTTCTAATGACAGGGGTAAGGATTTAAAGCTGGCTACTTTTAGCACAATTTAGCTAATACAAGAGAAAAAAGAAGATAATTCCTTAATTGTAGACTGCTCCACTCCCCCACCATCCAAAAAATAGTGAGGTGCAAAGAGGAATGTAGAATGGCAATTTTTAAGAGATTTTTTTTCCTTTAAATCAATTTATGTCAGACCCATGATTATTGCCCTAGTTTATCCCCTTTAACCATAAGGACAGAATTATGTGATTAACGTGACAAATTTTTGAACCAGTATTACAAGCATGTCCCAGTAATTTTTTCCCCTATCAAAATTTTTAAAAGTGAAAATTAAATAGCCTATTTGGCTTGAAGGCTGCCAACCCTTGCATTACACACAAAGAAGGCAAGAAGAATCTGAAGGGTCCCATGCCAAGAACGTATTTTCGGAAAATGAAGACAGGAGAGGCCCAAGTGTACACGAGGCACACAATAAAAAGGAATTTCACCATCTGTGATCTTGAAATTACAAATGGAGAAGGAGAAAGAATGAGTTTATATAAGCATATGTTTCTCTATATATTTATAAATATTTATATCATTTACCATGAAGACATGCAAGTAGTGTTATAGCAAATATTATACAATATCATACAGAAGGACTGGTCTTCCCGTATTACAGTTGCTTTAGTTAAACAGCAAATATGTCTTATCTATTGCATTCCTCTGTAGTGCTTGAAACCGGAGAGAAATTAAGATTCAACACTATGCTACATTTCTTACGGGAGATCGTATAGGACTTGATAGTGTTTGGAGTTTCGGGGTTTTTTTGTTTTTGTTTTTAAAAACAGCTCCGCACAGAGAGAATGAGAAGACCAGTGCAGCTTCAGGGCAGCTTTGATGCAGCATCATGAGAATGTAGTCACCTGGTGAGGAAACAGACTTCTTTTTGTTTTTTTTTTTTTTCCCTTTTTTTTTTCTGGTTTCCAATTCAACCATATTCGATTTGGCAGCAAACACAAGGTCAAAGAGAAAGCACAGATGTTTGCTAGAAGGCAAACTGCAACAGCAAGCAGACCAATTTACCTGACCTCAATAAGGTCTGTACAACACAAAACACCTACAGAGTAGAAAAGAGCCCATTGGAAAAATCTAGCATAATTTACTTTTGCCTGATTCCTGTTAGCAGAAGACTGAAATGAGAACAAACACGCTCCTCCTCGCAGCTTTATAAATTGAGGTTACAAAGAAATCAGGTCCAAAAGCCCAAACATTCAAACTAAAGCATAGGAGAAGCAGTAATAAAACAGTAAAAGATAGATATTGAGCCTAAATTTATTTCCCCAGATACTCATTCCTTATTGGCTAAACGTATATAAAATACAAAGTTCGAGGATTATAAGCCTCAACAACGTACCTAATTTCTGTTTTTCTTTCTAAATCTCTAAGAGCATAAAGTCACATTCCACAGCATCGGACTTCCCTGGTATCATCTTGGAGGTTGATATTGGAAAACAGTCAGTATCCAGAAGACCTAAGAAAGCAAGGTCTGCTCTGGTGGGTCTTCCTTCCACAAGGAGGAAATGGAGGGGAAGAGGGTTCTTTTGTCTTGAAGGGTGTTCACCCCACTCTGTCCCTCTGTCCCTAACGTGCTAACGCCTGTGCAGTAGGCTGTTTCAGCTTCTCCTTCCTTTACCTAAGTTTCAGTAGTTCTTTTTCACAATAAAAATATACTGAGTTAAGAACTGTGAACTGTTACTTTTTTCTGTTCCACAGAAAAATATTAGGGGACTAAAAAAAAAAAAAAACCATACACAACTGGATTGGAAATTTTCAGCATGTGCTGCTAAAAGCATATTAGAAGGTACTGTTAAAATAAGAAAAGGGAGATTGATTCCGGGGAGATACTCTAACTTTAAAAACCATGAAATGCAGGGAGGGTAGTAGGAGTGAGGCAAAGTCAAGGTGTGAACTCCCAGTACACGAATAAACACACGAGCCGTGTGTACACAGGCACTGGCTCCTCAGCAGCAGACTTGTTATATATCCTCCTACTGAAGCAATTCTGACTCTCCAAGGTTGGGAAGTTTTGAACGAAAATATTAAAACAACAAATTTCACTTTTGCTATATAATCTTTGAGCAATGCCTTTAAAAAAAACAGGCCGAACCCCTTAAAATTCCATTCCATTTCCTACCTTCAACTCTTTTGTTTCAAAGGCAGCTGAAAACTGAGAGTTCCTTTCATCTCCCCCTTGGATTTTGCTGGACTGCCCCTTCCTATGCAAAGGCGTTGATTCCTGGTCTGCTTGCTGCCTGCCTTAGGTAATTCCTTATCCTAAATTTACGTCTTCTTATAAATAATTTATCATGTTACTTTCTTTTGCAAGAGAAGATCAACACTGATTGTTTAAATAGACAGTACAGGGACACACATGCATCAGGCTGAGGAGGAAGATCTCACACCTTTCACAGAGATACAGCCCGGCTTCTACCTGCTGAGTTTAGTGGCTGACTTACTCTTCCCGGGGGGGGCTTTAGTGCTGGCCGAGTGGTGGTGGAGGCTGCTGGATCCTTTCAGGCCATTCTTACTGGGTTTGCAGTGCTCCTGTTGGCAGGACCTCCTGGAGGAGGAAGATCCTGAGTGGCTGGGAGGGGACTTGCTTCTCCCCAGATGCGGGGACGAACTCCTCTGGTCATGGTGGGGCCGGGCAGCCCTGGATGGTGAGGAGCTGGATGTGCGAGGCAAGGAAGAGCTTCGAGGAGAGGCACTGGGACTTCTGCGGGGGACAACTGGACTCTTGGGTGGTGTTTTTGGATTGTGGGGTGATCCTGGACTCTTGCACTGAGGAGTGCCCCGGGGCTTCTGAGATCCATTTTGAAGAATTTGGGCCAGGCGGGAGAACAGGTCTGAGTCAGAATTGCTACTCCCTAGGACTTTATATCTGCGGAGCCTTAAAAGAACAGACAAGAATTCTTTTCATTTTAATCCAAAGACGTCCAGAAAGTCACAGTGTCCTAATGATAATGTGTATAAGGTGAGTCAAGTCAGCAAACACTGGAAACAGAGTTACTCTTTCACACACCACTTGCATGAGCCTGGACAAATTACTTAACCTCTCCTTTTTTTTTTTTTCAAAGTGAAGTACAGTTGACACATGATTTTGTGTTAATTTCAGGCATACAGCACGACGATTTCACAATTCTATACATTAACAATGTTCACCATGATAAATTTTGTTACTGTCACTGTACAAATTTATTACAGTATCATTGACTATATTCTCTTTGCTATACTTTCCATCCCTATGACTTATTCTGTAACTCAAAGTTCATACCTCTTACTCCCTACCCTTCACCTATTTCGCCCACCCCTCCCACCCTACTCCCCTCTGGCAACCAGCGGGCTATTCTCTGTATTTATGAGTCTGTTTCTGTTTGCTTGCTTGTTCATTTGTGTTTTTAGATTTCACATGTAAGTGTGAAAATACCATATGATTTCACTTATATGTACTTGGTATTTGTCTTTCTCTAATTTCACTTAGTACAATACCCTCTAAGTCTGTCCATGTTGTAAATGGCAAGATTTCATTCTTTTTTATGGCTGAGCAATATTCTATGACATGTACACACACACCCCCTACATTTTTGCCCATTCATCCATCAATAGACACGTTGCTTCTATATCCTGCCTATTGTAAATAATGCTGCTATAAACCTGGGGTGCATATATCTTTTCAGATTAGTGTTTTGTTTTCTTTGGGTAAATACCCAGCTGTGAAATTACTGGATTGGATGGTAGTTCCATTTTTCATTTTTTGAGGGAATTCCATACTGTTTTCCATAGTTGCTGCATAAATCACATCCTCACCAGCAGTGCACGTCACCTCTCCTAGCTTTTAATGGGAATGTTATCTACCTCCCAAGATTACTGGGCAGCCAAGAATAATGGCGCAAGTAAAGTATTTAGTATATGTGCTGCCGAAGCGAGCACCCAAGTAAAGTATTTAGCTGGCTGGCTGCCGTTCAGAAGGACTTAAATGTTGTTGGTCCCTTTCTCCTATGGCACGTTTGCTCTTCCTCTTCTTTTAAGTTTTTATTCATTTATTTAAGTAATCTGTATACCCAATACGGGGCTTGAACTCATGACCCCAACATGAAGGCTGTACACACTTCTGACTGAGCTAGCCAGGCACCTGGCCTGTTTGTTCTTCTAATTTTAGGATCAACTTAATGAAACATCTCTAGCATGTTAGTAAGTATGAGAGAGAGTAAACCATTTTGTATAAGGCTCCAAGACAGAAATCTGGCATGTGTATATGCAGACATTAAACCCCACAACGTGAAGTACACTCACCAACATCAAGAACTACAGATCAAAGAATTATTTCAACCTCATTTAACACTTTGCAAAAGGAAAGCATAGTCACTGGTTTCTCTGGGCTTCAGTGTCTGTCTCTGACAATAGTCTGAGATTCAAGAAAGCTGGGTTTAGAGACTGACTGCCCTGTCTTACTGGCAACAGAACTTGGGCCCTTGAATTCTACATCTAGAGAATATTCACATGAATATCAGTGTCTCCTCTGGCCTATATTCTTTCTGCCTCAGCCTAAAACCCACTCAGTTAAAGAATTTAAACATCAGGGGCGCCTGGGTGGCTCAGTGGGTTAAAGCCTCTGCCTTCGGCTCGGGTCATGATCCCAGGGTCCTGGGATCGAGCCCCGCATCGGGCTCTCTGCTCAGCTGAGAGCCTGCTTCCTCCTCTCTCTCTGCCTGCCTCTCTGCCTACTTGTGATCTCTGTCTGTCAAATAAATAAATAAAATCTTAAAAAAAAAAAAAAAGAATTTAAACATCAAACTGCTGGGGGGCCTGGATGGCTCAGTCAGTTAAGTGTCTGCCTTCAGCTCAGGTTATGATCCTGGAGTCCTGGGATCGAGCCCCCGAGTCAAGCCCTGTGACAGGCTCTGAGCTCAGTGGGAGCCTGCTTCTCTCTCTCCCTCTGCCCCTGCTCATGCTCACTCGCCCTCTCTCAAATAAATTAAAAAAAAAAACAAAACCAAAATTTTCAACTGCTGACATGCCACTCCTTATGGAAGGAAGTGGGAGAAGAACTCGCAAGGTCGTATTAGCAGCTGCAGAATGCAGGGGCATAAACAGCCATCATCACCGTAATGGGTCAGCAATAAGCTACTGATTTTTTCTCTCTCCCTCCTTTCCCACCATCTACTTATTCTGACATGATGAAACTCCTTCTGGTTAAGCCTACCCTCATGGATGTTATAGTAAAGTCGGAAGAATGGAATAAAATAATTCTTCTGTGCCAGGACCTATGTGGGAGAGTTGAGTGACCCCTGAATTCCCAGATGAAGTCCAGGCTGGTCAGCTCCGTGACACAATGCCACACGCTTGGCTTGGTTACCAAGTGCTACTTTTAAGGGACTTATAAAGTGCTAAGTAATAGATGATAACCAAGATTTGTTTGCTGAAGTCCAAAGCGGCTCACGCCACAGATGACGCCATCTCTACTAAGTACAGAGGACAAGCAGAAGGAAGAGGGGATGCGTCACTACTGTTCATGGAATCACCTTTCTAAACTGTCTCAAATGACTGTTTACTCATCACCATGCTTCCTGTAGGAGTCTAGTCCCATTGGCACTTCAAATCCAATGTTTAGTTACCCTTGAACCTGAAACCCTATGGCAACTCAGAGCTAACCTTACCTAAGGGGAGCAAGTTCTGCTGGGTAATGATAGACTCCCACTTTAATACACTTCAGAATCCATAACAATAATCCATATTGTTGTACTATCTAGAATAGGCTACAGTCTTCATGTATTTTGATTTTTCATCTGGTTTTTGTTCAAAGGCCATTCTTTTTCTCATTCTTCTAACAGGGCTGAGACCATTTTAGTCTGTGGAATGAATAATCGTTCTCCAATGAAAGCACTCTTAACTGGTTTATCACCTCCCAATAGTTTCCTCTCGTCTTTAAAATATAATTACCTTACGGTCAACTCTACACAAGAATACTTCAATTAACAAGTATACCATGTAGTAAATATTGAAGTAATACTTTTCTTATGTATGGCTATATGTACCATCAGACCTAAGGGAAACTGCCTATAGGGGTTTTGTGTTTGTTTACCACATTATAATCAGATAAAGAGCACTGTGACCAGGACCCATTCATCAAATTATGGACACAGTCTTTTTCACGAGAATTTGACACCATAATGACATCTCTTATGGGATTTGGACTAGAAAAAGCTGGAAACTTACCGAGTATCTAGTTAAAACGGACTAGAAGAGACATGACCTTGGTTGCATGCTAATTAAACCCGTCACAAAGCTCTACATGTACGCAACCATATTGCAGTCCACATGCGCAACCATATTTGATCCTGCCCAAACCACAAGGCAAATATAAGACCTATTTTATGGATGCAGAAGCTGAGGGTCACAATGCTAGAGAGTGGGAGCGCTAAGAGTTTACTTCTTCTATACTGGCCTATAAAGCTTGGGGAAGGCAGTGAAGGCAACAGATAATCAGAAGCAGGCAACGGAGAAATGAGACCACTGACGTAACATAATCAAGCAGACACAGAGAGAACATTACACACTTAACATGGTGACAACACAGAGCCTTACCTGGCTTCCACTCCAGGCCTCGTGGGAGGCTTTCCTGGTGGTGGCCGAGGCAAGAACTGAGCTGAAGTTGCGCTACTGACTTGATCTGTGTTGACCCATGAAACGGGCCTTGGGATTTTGCTCTTTCTGGACTGGGAGATGATGGGTGACAGAAAGCTGTCTTCGGCTGATCTGCTCAGGTGCGAGTCTATAGCCAGTCTTGAAAAGGGAGCAAAGACCTCCTCCTCAGAAAAGGGGGCGGGAACAGTAGCTAGTCTCTCCTCCAGCAATTTATCAGAGGCACTTGAGAGATCCCCAAGGAAAGACTTGAGTTGCCTTTTTTCCACCAGAAGCCTGACGAGGTCTGGCTGATAAGCTTTCTTTTGGAGGAGCTTTTCTTTTGCGGAGACTGGAGAGGATGATTCAAAAGTTGAGTCTATCTCTTGGGCTAAAACAGGGATTCGGCTGTGTCTAGTTACAAAGGATGACCTGATCACGTCCTTCCGGGATGGGGGACAATGTTCGCTCTCGGAAACACAATGAAATAATTCCCCATTTCTAGGGGCCATTTTCTCTCTCTTACCCTCTTGGTGCAAAAATGTAGACAGGTCTCCCTGCTGACCTGGCAAGTCTGCACTCCTGACGTCATCATCCTTAGATGGCTTACCTTTTTGCATTGCTGCCACCTGACCTATCTGTCCTTCAATATGTGGGTCAATGACTTGTGAAGAAACTTCTGAAGTTTCAACCTCCAGAAGCTTCATTATCTCATGATTTTTGTCTTGATTTGGCACTACACTAAAAGTGTGTGTCTTTGCCACATCAAGAGGCTCAGTGGTAGCTGAGTGATCTCTTTCCACAGTTACCAAGTCTCCTGGAAGGGAGGCGATCTCAATATAATGCTGCCCTTTACTTAACTTCTCATCTTCATTATCTGACCCTAGAAGATTGCTTTTCTCTTCAGTTTCCCTAGGGAGACTCTCAAGTTCTCTCAAAGCCAGTCTGTTATGGTCAGGATGGTCTTTTGGTCCTAGATCTTGAGATTTGTTACACTCTCTAATATTGGATAACAAGTCATGACCAGTATGATCTATCTGCAGCCCCAAGTCTGTTCTGCTTCCTCCACTAGGAGGTTCACCTTCTGTTACAACCAGGCCAGAGAAGTTCTCCTTTGGAGAGTAAAGTTCCACAGTGGGTTCCACAGGCTGAAGGTCCTTCTTCTCTTGCTGTTGACCATAGTGAAAGCTTCCTGAAGTTGACTGTGTGGATGCCACAGAGGGTCTAGGAATTGTAATCTGGAGAGACAGTAGTAAAAGTGTTATGCAATAACGTGGAATATAATGAAGATGCCTGATTTGAAATTTCACATGTCAAATTCTAATTTGTAAGAGGAACACAAATATTGACCAGGTCTGCCCAACTCATATTTAAAATGAACAGCTCCAAATCAAAGTACATGATGCTCAAAAGCTCTCCCACCCAGGAGCTGTATAAAACAGTCTCCGTCCAGGCTCATCCCTGCCTCTTCTTTAGCCTGCTCTGTGCTCTACAACACTGACTTCTCCAGACTGCACAACTCAGGCTCCCTTGCCTTCTGATTTCCGGCTGGGTTTGCTCAATGGGCAGCACCAACAGAGCATCAGAGTTGGAGAAGAGAAAGGTCTGGGTATTATTAATATTTTCAAAGAGATTTATTTATTTATTTATTTATTTATTTATGAAAGTGAGAGAGAGAGAAAGAGAGGAGGAAGTGGAGGAGCAGAGGGAGAAGGACAAGCAGACTCTGTGATGAGTGGGGGAACCCCAACATGGGGTTCAACCCTAGGACCCTGAGATCATGACCTGAGCCGAAATAAAGAGTCAGATGCTCAACCAACTGTGCCACCCAGTACCCCCAGGTCTGGGTATTAATTCTCTCTGCATCCTGCCCAAGGGATAGCAGCTTTGGTAGTGGCTACAGTTTACCACTTCTGACCACAGTTGCTATGGTATGGCCCCTCTCCTAGCTTTTATTCCCTCTTCCTCCTCCCACAGGACTCAAGATAGAAATGGCTCCCTCCACTGATGCTTCTGTTAGTTCTCTCAACTCTTCCCACCCATCTGTAAAAAGCTCTTCTCAGTAAATTCTCTCCAAGTCCCCTTGAGTGTGCCAGCTATTTTCTGCCAGAATCCAGATACAGGATTACAGGGGGAAAAAATTACTGGCAAATTGTACATTTAAAAATTCCAGATTTACATGCATTTTGTTTCCCATAACTCCTATCAATCAATTTTAGGAATATACAAGCAAAGCCGTACAAAGAAAGACGTTTCCTAATGTTTCATTATCTTCTTTAATTTTTTAAGGTCAAGCCTATGATACCTTAAATTCTACCATCCTTCCACTGAGGTCATTTAACTCTATGTGAAGTAAGCCAAGCAGAGAAAGACAATTATCATATGGTTTCACTCATATGTGGAACATAAGGAATAGCCCGAAGGACCATAGGGGAAGGAAGGAAAAGCCAAAGAGGGAGAAATCAGAGAGAGATGAACCAAGAGAGACTATGGACCCCAAGAAACAATCTGGGGGTTTCAGAGGGGAGGGGGTGGAGAGGTGGGGTAAAAGGGTGATGGGTATTAAGGAGCGCACATGCTATGATGAGCACTGGGTGTTCTACTTAACTAATGGATCATTGAACACTACATCAAGGACTATGTACTATACAGTGGCTAACTGAACATAATAAAAAAAAAAAGAGAGAGAGAGAGAGAGATTCAATATCTAATAAGAATGACCCAGGGGCACCTGGGTGGCTCAGTGGGTTAAAGCCTCTGCCTTCGGCTCAGGTCATGATATCAGGGTCCTGGGATCAAGCCCCGCATCAGGCTCCCTGCTCCACGGGGAGACTGCTTCCTCCTCTCTCTCTCTGCCTGCCTCTCTGCCTACTTGTGATCTCTCCCTCTGTGAAATAAATAAATTATTAAAAAAAAAAAAAAGAATGTCCTACCTTAAGACTCCTAAAGTTTCTACATTTTCACATTTGTTAAAAGTAACATGTAAGAGGCCACCTGGGTGGCTCGGTTGGTTAAGCGACTGCCTTCAGCTCGGGTCATGATCCTGGAGTACAGGATCGAATCTCGCATCAGCCTCCCTGCTCAGCAAGGAGTCTGCTTCTCCCTCTGACCCTCCCCCTTGCACGCTCTCTCTCTTTCTGGCTCCCAAATAAATAAATAAATAAAATCTTTGAAAGGAAAAAAAAAAGTAACGTGTAAGAAAACAAAAGTGATACATAAGGAGTCAGCAAATATCAACCACATAAACTGGTATGGAAAAAAAGCCTTTTTGAGAAAGGAAATAAGCCAAATTGCTTCATGAAGCCAATTTAGTTCTAGGAAAACTATGGAAATTGGTCTGAATTCAAAGCAAAATGAATTTGGAACTGTTGTGGGAGATTATGCTTAGACCCCACCTTAGTCTACAGACATCAAGAAATCGGTGTTGTTCCAGAGTCAGAGATACTGTCTGGATCTGTTTCTCTGTGTGTCAGGAATACAGTTATGTATACGAACATGTAAAGCTTATCCTAAGCCCAGCCCAGGAGAAAACACCTAACTCATGTCCTGAAATAGCTCCTGGATAGACCAGTATCCTGAGGATCTGTCAGGTTAATTGAATAAAGACAGGCTGTTTGGGTTCAGACGTGAATTCTTACAATAAGCCCAGACCTATAATGACCTTCGAGAAAAGGGAGTAAGTTCCAGCAGTGCTGTTGCCCTTCAGGAAGTGACCTCAAACCTCTATCTCTTTCGTTATTCTAAAATATATTCAGGCAGATGTCAATTTCCTAGTATATTTTAAAAATCATATTGAAACCTAACATGTATAGTTACTTACTATTCAAAATGTAATTTTTAAGACCTGAGAGTGATGGTGATAAGAAAATCAGGTACGAAGTTATAAAATGCCAAATAACAAGGGAGATGACTCGACCTACATTGAAAATACACCAAAAGTCATTTCATTATTATATGTAATTCCAAAACATCAGCCAAAATAAACTCAGCAGTGTTTACACAAGTAATAGTTTACTGCTCTTTTAAGATTGGAGCTAGGGAATCCATGCAATTCTGAGTTTAACTCGTCTTAGATTCAGGATATAAAAGGATGTGTGTGTGGGCACCTGGGTGGCTCAGTGGGTTAAGCCTCTGCCTTCGGCTTGGATCATGGTCTCAGTGTCCTGGGATTGAGCCCCACATCGGGCTTTCTGCTCAGCAGAGAGACTGCCTCCCCCCCAACCCCCTCTGCCTGCCTCTCTGCCTACTTGTGATCTCTCTCTCTCTGTCAAATAAATAAATAATCTTTTTAAAAAAAGGGTGTGTGTGTGTGGTATGACAAAAGGAGTGACAATCTTTTTTAAATTTTTTTTTAGATTTTATTTATTTTTTTGTCAAAGAGAGAGCACAAGTAGGCAGAGAGGCAGGCAGAGGCAGAGAGAGAAGCAGGCTCCCCACTGAGCAAGGAGCCTGATATAGGACTCAATCCCAGGACCCCAGGATCACGACTCGAGCTGAAGGCAGCTGCTTAACCGACTGAGCCACCCAGGCATCCCAAAGGAGTGACAATCTTGTACACAGAAAAGATACTCTGCCTGAATTTTTCTTAAAAAAATATTTTCAGCAATTATGATGAACTGCATAAAATACTCTCATATAATATTTCTATAGCACCTTAAGTTTCTAAAATATTCCTAAAACCATTTTTACTAATTCCATTTTATATCTGCCCTACATTTCAATTGGGTGCTATTTTTTACACAAATTTCACAAATGAGAAAAAAAGAGGTTCAAAAAAGTCAAGGATAGGACCGAAGGGTTTTGAAAATCATGCATATCATACATAGCCCACCACATGCACTATACTCAAATGAAGTCTAGAAAAGTCTGCAAAAATATTATCTGACAAGATAAAAGGAGAAAAACCAAAGAACAATAGCTAAATGTAGTAAAAGGAAGACCAATTCTAAGTATAGCTGAAAATAACTTCCTTTTTTAAAATCTTTAAAAATTTATTCATTTATTTATTAAAGATTTTATTTATTTATTTGACACAGAGAGAGACAGCAAGAGAGGGAACACAAGTAGGGGGAAGTGGGAGAGGGAGAAGCAGGCTTCCCACTCTGCAGGGAGGCTGATGAGGGGCTTGATCCCAAGACCCCGGGATCATGACCTGAGCCGAGGGCAGACGCTTAATGACTGAGCCACCCAGGCGCCCCTGAAAATAACTTCCTTAACCTTAGACTGTAAGATTTGAAAGCAATTCCCATGCTGGGACACTTTACAATTGGACTAAATCAATGATCTGCCAGTAAGCCATATGCATTTTTTATATCTTTAATTTCTATAATTTACAAACATCTCATTAAGGCATGAATTCACTCAAGTCCTTTCTTCTGTTCTCTAACTGTATAAGGTAACACCTTTTTACAGAACTAGAATATGACTTTGGTATTTTCCATTTCTTTAATATTAGTTTTACTAATGCCTACTACTCAGTTTGACTAACATCAGTCTCATTACTGTTTAGTTCAGATAAAGTAGCCTCATTATTTATCGTTATCCCATGTTTATGACTGGCCAGACAGCAAGAAACAATAAACTGCAAACTAGTTATTATGTACATTTAACTTATAAATACCCTTTTAACTTTCATCTCATTCAAGGGCTGTAATGTTAGTAAGATAATAAAAACTCTGGGAATTCAACATTGATACCAAACAGCCTCTCTTCCAAATAAAAGGTATGTGATTTATGAAATATCTAGATCTCGGGCGCCTGGGTGGCTCAGTGGGTTAAAGCCTCTGCCTTCGGCTCAGGTCATGATCTCAGGGTCCTGGGATCGAGCCCCACATCGGGCTCTCTGCTCGGCAGGGAGCCTGCTTCCCCCTCTCTCTCTGCCTGCCTCTTGCCTACTTGTGATCTCTGTCTGTCAAATAAATAAATAAAATCTTAAAAAAAAAAAGAAATATCTAGATCTCATTTTGTTTTTTTGACAAATACTTTATGAGATATAGGTAGTAGAATAATTTAGTGGTTCCTACTGTTGCCAAGAATAACAGTTATATGAACACATTCCTGGTCTATTAAAAAACTTAATTTATTTATTTATTTATTTATTTATTATTTATTTAGAGAGAGAGAGAGAACATGAAAGGGGAGAAGCAGACTCCCCACAGAGGTGGGAGCCTGATGCGGGACCTGATCCCGGAATTCCAGGATCATGACCCGAGCCGAAGACAGTGGCTTAACCAACTGA